GTCAGATGTACTTCACACAACAGTCTGTCATTGCGACGCACCATCGCGGCAATTTTAGAACTGCATGAACAGTCAACAGAGGAGCGCCAGTGAGCTGACCAGAAGTGCATGACGTTTGCCATTCGCCCCGGTCTGGTTTCCGACTCCAAAGGCCGTTCCCCGGCCCGCGCAAGTCTTATCTTATCGCAAATCCAGAGATCAGTGCCGACCGACCAGCCGGCCGGCCGGTCGGAGGGAGGGAGGGGGGAGGAACGAACGGGAGGGAGCGAGAGGGGGGACAAGAGTCAACACTCGACAGCGGGGCCGTGGGGAGGGGGGAGGGGTCATTTGAAAACGATCACCGTATCGGTGAGTCAGTGACCCGACTGACTCAGAGTCACGGGAGAGCCACCGACGTCTGACAGATAGGCACCAGTGACCCGTCTGACTCAGTGGGCAGTTACCTACAGTCGCGGCAGAAACGCTACGCACGCATATACGCAGTCATGTGCTGGAAACATGGGACACCGGAATGGGCACAAGAGAGACGATTATCAACCGCGACAAGCGTAGGCTCATCGAAAAATGCACATGCCGCTTCCCTCCTCACCGTGAAAATAAACGTCTTAAATTATCACATCGCAACTTTGTTTTGTCATGTCAATAGCGATACAAGCTCTGAATTCATTGTTCATCAGGAGCATAGGGACCCTCCCACCTTAACATTAGTTTTGAGTTGAGATAGCCAAATTGGTGGCCATGGCCTGAAAATACCGGTTTGGGCATTCACAACATCGAAAAATGCTTTAATTCGGAGATATGGAATTTCAAACTTGCAGTTTTCGGATTCTAAGGGGCTAATGCATTGGTATGCCCCCTTAGAATTTGTGACGTCAGCGGAGATCTAACGATTCTTAAATCTTTTACTAAAACGTTTGGCAGCACGCGGTGGTATATGCTGCTTTGCGCGCAACAAATGCCGCACTTTCAAATAAAGTCGCTAGGAACAGCGGAGATCCCCAAAAGTAAACAAAAGTAAAAGTCTAATATCTTGAAAACCGGTGAATATTTTTCGATGAAATTTGGTGTAGATATTCATTTTTGCTCTTTCTGAACCGAGCGACATCACTTTCATGCCAATTCATTAACTTTTTTGAAGGTGGGAGGGTCCCTTTAAGACTAGAGTCCCCATGCAATGGATTATGGGACAAATGTTTTACGAACCCATCAAAAAGATTTTACAGGGTATAATCTTACATGATCAGCTGTGGATCCACCCATTGGCACAAAAAAGAGCATAACTGAGCACGCGTAAAAGCATAAGCGACGGCCAGACACAACCTTCACTGAGGTCGTGAGTTTCAATCACGACCGACGCGCGACACGAATCTCATTAGCCTACCCCAACTCAGACAACGCCTTCATGACAAACGACCAAAGGACGCGACAAACATCTTGTCGCTTTTTAGGCAGCGCTTCCAGTGTTTATGCTAAATTCACGGACTTTGTGAATATCTCAGCGGTCGCAGTTTGGGCACAAAAATCGCGAAACTCATTCACTGTTTTGCTGAGTCAAGTAACAAAGCGACGGTAGCCAGGGTCAACTGGGTGCTTAGCAACTGTCTGGATCCGACTGTCGATCGACTCACGTCTTGTGTATAGCTGACAGATTTCGTCATTTATTGATGACATCATTGTTTTGCCACGACAATTTCATATAAAACGTAATGACATCTACTCGAGGAGCTGCATAATAGCACGACGTAAGTAATCCATCCCATCGGTTGTCGCAGGCCTCAATCAGAAGAGAGCGTCTAAAAAAGTCCATTCTTTTGAGATATTTCTCTTATTTGTTAAGTTCCGCCAAACGACAAATATTTCCACTGGAACATTCGCAAGACTGGGAGTAATTTTCGGTGAGACCAAAGACCGCAATGCCGTAATCTGAACAAATTTGTCAAATGGCCTGTCAAAGTACTGGTCAATGTCCCTGTGATTTAATAAGGTGTATGATATGTTTGCAAACAAGATACGTCAGCAGATGACAACATCGGAATGTTCCGATCAGGCATATCATGCGATATTGCTGATAACGTGCATGCATGTGGGCTTGTTTGATTTTTAAACGTCCGGAACATCCCATAAAGCATCATGAGGGGATATCAAAAAGTGTTGCAAAGTCCTCAGAAACTTTGTAGGCTTGTTCGTACAAAAGTCTAAATTTATAAATGTTGTCAGCCTCTGGATGGGCCGGCATGACCCCGTCCCCAGGTCATCTGAACAGCCTGCAGCCAAGCCCAGGGTCCGGGGGGATGGGGTGGAGGTTTACGACTCTCCGCTGCCTCCCGCAGCAGGTACAGGTGCCGGGACCAGCTGCGATCAACACTGCACGGACGGAGCGGCGCCGGTTGCCGACGGGCACCGGAGGCCACGGGTCACCACGGTACGCCGCCGGCAGCCGAAAGACGCTTGTAATCCACAAGTTTACCAGTGTAATCTACGGAAGGAGAAGCTTGTAATCTGGCACTCCACTAGACATTCGAGAGAGCTTGAGCGTTAGCGCAACGTCATCTTCAGATAGCCACCGCAACTTCTTATTATACTGCTCAGAGGACTGAGTGAAACGAGCGCTTAGCTGTCGTCGCCCACCAATCTCAGAACCGAGAACTTTCAAAACGTGAAAAACACCAAGAGGAGCTCAGATACGCCATCTGGAATAAACGGGCCGTCGGGCAGGCCAACACAGCAGAGCTGATCATGCTCGCCGGCAGGATTGCAGACTTTTATCACTCAGCACAAGGACGACCATTGACCGTTCTAGAATTCCACCTATCCGAGGCTATCCATTACCAATTGAAACAAGTAACATAGACGACCAGCAGATAAAAGGAGGCCGAAAAGCTCACTCGATGAAATCAGACTGCCATGATATTGATCTGATCATCTTACAGCATGGCAAATGGAGGTTATATAACCCAACTGAAAATAAATATCGACTGAACTCAGAGGCAGAATTCCGGAGCAGCCCGGCGGCTGGCCCATCACCGAAGTAATGTCGGTTTAGTCCGTCGTCAGCTGGAAAAACTCGATGCAGCACTGCCGAGAGCACTCAACATTAGACATATGGCAAAACTGAACATTAACCATACCTACCTAGGTAAGGTGTAAGCAATAAGCATGCAAGCGGGGCTTGGATCACAAACAGATGCTACTTTTAGTTTAAGTAAGACGGTCATTTTTAAGCTGGATTAGATTAGGATGTTATCGTTATCAATTGAGATAGATCGCCAACCGTTCAAAGCGCCATAAAAAGCTGCATCATGTCGCTGTTGCTCCCTCAGCCTCTTCACAGTGAACGACTAAAGACATCGCTGATCGCACCAAATGGAAGGCTTAACCCCGACCAGAACACCGCCGGGTTTTCCCGACCGGTTTGAGCAGCTCGCAGAAGGGATCATCGGGCCAAGACGATGAATAATGGTAATAGCGATAACGATTGGATTTCAGCAACACTCAGAGCGGATCATTGGCGCTGAGCTCGTGTTATACAGCCGCGCAATATTACGGGACTAACCGGGCGGTTACCAGACTTTGTAAGGTTAGGGAGGAATCGGGTGATACCCAAACTTCACCGAAAAGATCCAGCAGTGGACCACGTAGGGACCACTGCGGGACCACGGAAGAACATGAGGGACCACAGCGGAGGGACCACGGGGACAGGGTCGTAGACAGGCTGTGTGCGACGTGCGTGAGCAATTGTAAATCGCTGACGAAGCTTGGCGTTCATCTGCCGCTGGTGACTCATATACGAGAGCCAAGGAGACATTTCTCGTGAGCAGAAATCCCTCGCACTTTCCTCTCGGCCTAGCCTGCCCTGTCGAGCGTCTGGTCACGCGAGCCATGGCGAGCTCCAGCGTGTGAGGCATTTGCAGCGATCAAAAAAGATACGGATTGTGGGCAACGTCACATTTCATCAACACTGTAGATTTTGATATCGATTGGTGACCTAAGGCCTGACTAATTTTGAAACCTCGTCCGCACCATACTTTTTTCCGCATTGTAAGTTATTGACCAAGTAAAACCCAATTGTACGTATGAGTATTTGATTGAGTATATGACGTACACCGTGGATTAAACGGTCACCGAATGTCTACAATAATGTCTGAGAGGCATGCCTTAAAAAAAAACGTATTGGATGCATACATCACAACAATACGGATCGACTTATAGAAGCGGAACCCGATTCCGATCACGTACGACCCTAACCAGAGGTCATTTCAGCTGATCTCTGAATGTCAAAGTGCAGAGCCTTTGACTTGTCTTTACGGATGGCTGCAGTGGTGTACGGCTGTCGTCGACTCAGGAGACTGTACCACAAAGTAAGATCGCGTTGGTCATGCTCATAATTAGTACCTAATCATGTTCATCATGAATGATCCCTCTTTGATTATCGCAACATCTACGTAGAGCTATGACTTTTTTTATACGATGCTGTGGTGTGGCTCATTCATATTGTGAACATGTCTATTCCAAGACCGTCTATCACTAGGGTAATTCGATTTTTGCTCAAATCAAAATCTGGTGCACGACTTTGACCTGACCGTCACTTTAGAACTTCGCGATTTTGACGACTTTTTGACGACCTTTCGAATGGTTATGCCCATTGTGTTGTCTCTCAGACAAAAGTCCGCTTGACCGTCATGAAGAGACGTGTGTGACAGAAAACATGACTAATCCGGTCCATACAGTCAACCTCTGCGTAAACATCCGTGACCGTACGCAGGCTGAACTCGAGAACGGCGACGGGAGGGGACGTCGGGCAGCGTCCCTCGCCGGCACCTAAACTCGACACGAACATTCCACGGGGCGGCTCGGTGGCAGTCAATCGTCCGTACTCCCCCTTCCCCTCGGCGGGGCCCGCACACCGCGGCACGGGGGAGCGGTCACATGATCCCGGCACCCCGATCAGCTGACTGACCCGACCTGGCGGCGCGGCGGGGCGCGGCAGCGCCGCCTCTTACCTGGATCAGGTAGCCGCCGGTGAACGCCGCAGTGTTGGGACGACCCATGGTGCCCTGTCCGGATCGGCCCGCCAGCACCACCACAGGCGACACGCGGACGGCGCCAGAGGAGCGCAGCTCACCACGCATCACCACACCGTCAGCCGCGCGGAGACGCTCTGCGGCGGCGGCGGTGCCCCGGCGCCGACCGCCCCTAGTTCGGAGGACTGCCGCCAGCGGCGCCACCGGCGGGCCCACGTGATGCCCGCCAGAGGAGGGGGCGGATGGGGCAGAGCCGGGGTGACAGGGGACCGGGCACGCCGGGCCAGAGACGGGAGAGACGTTTGGACGGGAAAGGAGAGGGGGCCGTGCCAGTCAATGATGCAGTCAAGACTCGGATAGGGCAGTCCTCCGGGATGTCCGGTTGAACCTGTCTCTCGGGTACTCCCCTCCCGACGAGAATCGAGATGGGCTCCCAGGTGCGACCGGCGCAGTTGCTGATTGACTCAGCCTTATGCTCCAATCTGTAAATCTTTTCATCCCACAGTCCCGAAATGGTCTCAACTAGGCGAGAGAACCACGCAAAGCAAAATTATCCGTAAAGATGCGGGTATAAGTGGGTATACCTTGTTTGAACATGAGATGACCTCGGGTGACCTGAAGTTCAGCAGAGGTCATCTTGACACAGGTTTTGCTGAACAATTAGCGACGTTCCAGGACTAGTGAGTGTAAGTCGTTACTTCTGGAGCTGCATCAGGTCTCAGAAAAACAGCATCCGACAGAGCTGACTGGATTTCATCCGTCCATTGCACCAGAAAAGGATAACCAACCACAGAAAAGGAGGACAAGCTATAGATCTGGCCCTGACTGGCCACCGATTTTGTTAAATATTCACTCTGGGGAGTACCTACCAATGCTATAAGAAAACGATCTTTTAATTAAATCACCGACGTCTATCCCCAGCCAGCAATTTTGCTCCGGGCCCAAGCAGGCTCAAGTGCGGATTGCCCGATATTTTAAGTCGGGCTAAAGTCGGCTAGGGCTTGGGCTAAAGTCGGCGTATGACACAAAAACGCCGACTAAAGCCCATGCTCTGCCGGAGGTATGCCCGCTCTGCGAGCTCCGGACAGCCGTAGTTTAGCCCTAGTTGAGCGACTCTTGGCGCTAGCCCGATTTAAGCCCGAGCAGTGAATCCATTTATATAATGGATGTTACTCTGGGCCCGAGCGGGCTGAACTCATGCAAGCCCACTCTGTGTGCCCTGTCTATCCCGACATAAGCCATAGAAGTGAATGGGGTTTATACATTGCAAACTACTGTGGCTTTGCTCGGGTTCGGCTCGAGTGACGGCTCCTGTTTTCTCAAGTCTCGACTTGACTTCATCTTGCTTTTGCTTCACACTGGATCAAGTAGCAAGGAGCAGCCAATGCACTTTCAGCAGGTTGTGCGGTTACAATTCATATTCAAAATTGTTACGGTCACTCATATGCTCTGTTAACCGGTCATCGAGCATTGCGAAAGGAAAGTAGTGGTTGACTTTGATTGAATGTATATTTCAAACGACTGCAGACACGTCAAATGAAACAAAAATACATGAAACAGTGGACTGCAAACTGCAGCAATAATATGGCATGAGTCATGAAAAAGCACCATCAAAACTGTAAAACAATCACAAGGCCCGCTAGCCTCCCTCCCCGTTCATAATAACTTAATAACCCTTTCATAATTCGGTTGGGTGTTACTTAGTTGAACACCCAACCGAAAGCATAAAGTAAGGACAACAAGTAATCGCTCATGAAGACATACCTAAAGCAATTAGCAAACAATCGTTTATAAAGAACCTCATTCTGGTGAATGGGAGCTTTGGAGGCGTTTAGCTCCTCGACACACACACATCTGCAGTAGATGGTCGGCCAGCTTTCGGCGCAGTTTCCATATATGTAGGTATACCTACTTAATTATAAGCAGGCAGTTTCCGCTAAACCACTTGGCGAGGGCGACTGCGGCGTCCACCCGGTCCTGGTTTGTATAACTATTCAATTTTTTGGAACCATTTGCTCTAATGGTAAGTACCTGAAAAGAGATTAATTGGTTTAATTTACATTGCATGTTTGCTTGAAAAATAACTTATTGTTGCATTAATACTGTAAAAGCACTTCTCATTGATCCGTATAAAATGTTCATTCGATTTTCAACGCGGACAGAGAATGAGGGTGCTCGGTGATAAGTAGATAAATATTTGTGTTTTGTATTTCATTTTCCTGGTTCAGAAGTGCTGGTATTTCACAAAGATATATGTAAAGGCACGGAATGCGGCTTTTCTGAGCGAGGGTATAAGTCGCCAGGCTGAACAGCTATTCAGCTTCATGTTTGATGGTGTGAAACTCAGTCAAAATCATGACGTTTACATACGATCAAGCGCACCATTCAATACACTTACCTACCGTAAAACTCCATGCCAGTCCACTTGATAAGAGCAGTGAGCACTATCCCTTCTTCGCGCTGTCACACGCGCCCAAACATCAACCACCAAATGCCCCAACGGCCAACACCGGTGTGTCGTTTCGTCGCACAGCGCACAGACTGTCACAAACGCTGCACATGATTGGCGCAGAAGTCCAGGGGCGGATCCAAGGGGGGGGGTCACATGGGTCATGGCCCCCCGCTTGAGGCCCGGGGGCCCAAAGACCTTCCAGGGGCACCACCGGCCTATCAGGGGTATCACAGTCCTGACAGGGGCACCACAGGACCGCCAGGGGCACCACAGGCCTAGCAGGGACACCACGGGCCTGGTGCCCCTGGGCCCTGACAGGACTGTAACGCCCCTGACAAGCCTGAAGTGTCCCCGGCAGGCACGTGGTGCCCCTGACAGGCCTGAGGCGCCCCTGCAAGGCCGGTGGTGCCCATGGCAGGCCTGTGGTGTCCATGGCAGGCCTGTGGTGCCCTTGCTAGGCCTCTGGTGCCCCTGACAGGCTTGTAATGCCCCTGGAAGGACTGTGGTGCCCCTGGGCCCTGACAAGCCTGAAGTGCCCTTGCTAGGCCTGTGGTGCCCCTGGCAGGCCTCTGGTGCCCCTGACAGGCTTGCGGTGCCCTTGGAAGGACTGTGGTGTCCCTGGGCCCTGACAAGCCTGAGGTGCCCCTGACAGGCCCGTGGTGCCCTTGTTAGGCCTGTGGTGCCCCTGGCAGGCCTCTGGTGCCCTTGCTAGGCCGCTGGTGCCCCTGGCAGGCCTCTGGTGCCCTTGCTAGGCCGCTGGTGCCCCTGGCAGGCCTCTGGTGCCCCTGCGCCCGGAGGGGACTGGTGCCCCTGAAAAGTCTGAAGTGCCCCTCGGCAGGCCCGTCGTGCCCCTGACAGGCCCAAGGTGCCCCTGCAAGGCCGGTGGTGCCCCTGGCAGGCCTCTGGTGCCCCTGGCAGGTCTGTGGTGCCCCTGGCAGGTCTGTGGCGCCCCTGGCAGACCTGTGTTGACTGGTGCCCCTGCTAGGTCGCTGGTGCCCCTCACAGACCTGTGGTGCCGCTGGGCCTTGACAAGCCTGAGATGCCTGGCTATGACAGGCTCGTGGTGCCCCTGATAGACCAGTGGTGCCCTTGCTAGGCCTGTAGTGCCCCTGGCAGGCCTCTGGTGCCCCTGCTACCCCTGCGCCCTGAGAGGACTATGGTGCCCCTGAAAAGCCTGAAGTGCCTCTCGACAGGCCCGTGGTGCCCCTGGGCCCTGACAGGCCCAAGTTACCCCTGCGAGGTCGGTGGTGCTCCTGGCAGGCCTCTGGTGCCCCTGGCAGGTCTGTGGTGCCCCTGGCAGGAATGTTTTGACTGGTGCCCCTGCTAGGCCGCTGGTGCCCCTCACAGGCCTGCGGTGCCCCTAGAAGGACTGTGGTGCCCCTGCCCCTAGGGGTGCTCATGGGCCCAACAGGCCCGTTGTGCCCCTGACAGGCCTGTCGTGTATACTTGCTAGACCTGTGGTGCCCCTGCTTCCTGGCAGGCCTGTGGCGCCCCTACAAGGCCGTAGGTGCCCCTGACAGGTTTGTGGTGTCCCTGGAAGGACTTTGGTGCCCCTGACAAGCCTGAAGTGTCAAGGACAGACCCTTTAGACGCCAGGGTCAAGTTCGTCGGACTGACAACGATTTGCTTACCTGATAACGTTCCTGGTAAGTACTCATTACTCAGCGTCCACAACATATATACACATAGCACATTCATATATACTTGCTTACAATTGGTAAATGTGGTTGTGGCTAAGAGGTAAGATACTGACTAAAAATAAAAAATAAACATAAAAAACTGAAAATGGGGGCACCACCAAAATGAAGTGGACGAAATCCGTTGACTGTTTTTAATTTTGGGTATAGGTAGGGGCACCACTTCGATTCATGACCCTCCCCTTGGAGTTTTCCTGGATCCGCCCCTGCGCAGAACTGCGCATGCGCGAACAGCCGAACAAGTATGGCTAAGCTCCGGCTTTACTCCAGTTAGCCGAAGGACACAGCCAGCTTGATCAGCCCGCGCTCCGCCCAAGTTAAGCCTGTTTTGGATGCGCGGGCAGATGTCGGGCTGAGCTACTGCTATCCGCACGTGGGCATAGCTGCGGCATGCCCCAGCTCAGCCCTAGTAAAAAATACATTGGTTTTAGTCAAAGTGGGCAAACCCAAGCTAAGCCCAAGCTGCCCGACGTTTGCCACAGGTCAGCCCAAGCGAATTGCTGGCTGGGTCAGTGTGGTTCCTGAACGGCGGTAAGCGACGTAACTACGGCTTTATTTATCGGGACTTCTTTCTGCTCGACAAAGTCTTCCTTATACCTACCTAGTGAAGAATCAGATACACAACACTTAAAAGACGAAACATCGCACATTGCCTGTTTTTATTTTCTATTAAAGCAAAAATATCAAAAATATTTTTTTTTTTCAAATTAATTAAAACAATGTCCATTATAAGGAACACAGTGTGCATTGCAGTTTATCAGTCACACGATGCGTGGACGATTGATGGCGAACAATGGAACTTTTCCCGGACACGCTGAAGAGATCACCAGAGTCGTTGATCTGACTACCATCTCGCGTCCTGCGGTGTAAGTGTATGTGTAGAATGTGTATCTGTGGAGTCAGCTGAGAACCCTGTCCGTCCGTCCCGCGCCGCCAGCCGTGGGGACGCGGCGGCGGCGGCGGCGGCGGCGAACACTGGCCCCCGGCTGGACTCACACATCCCTCCCGTCCTGTGACGGCGTCATCCCTCCCATCCCGGTGTGACGTCTCCTACATCAGCGGGTCGACCCGGTACGAGGTGGCGTGGCCCGGGTTGAGGATGACCTCCGTCTTCTCGGCAGCGTAACCAGCGGCGGGGGCGGCGGCGGGGGCGGGGGCGGCGGCGTACAGCAGAGCGGAGCCCGAGTACAGCGAGGGCAGCAGCACACCGCGGCGCTTCCTCAGCAGCGCCGGCTCCACCGGGTCCACGCGGTACGAGGTGGCGTGCCCCGGGTTGAGGATGACCTCCGTCTTCTCGGCGGCGTAACCAGCGGCGGGGGCGGGGGCGGCGGCGGCGTACAACAGAGCGCGCCTCTTGCGCATCCCGGGAGCGGCGCCGGGCATCTCAGAAGAGGCGCCGGGCATCATCTCGGGCATCTCGGGAGCGGCGCCGGGCATCATCTCGGGAGCGGAGTCGGGCATCTCGGGAGCTGCTGCCATCTGCTCGGCCTCCATGACCGCGGCCAGGTGGGCGGCGGTGGCGGCCTGCACCTCGGGGGTGGCCTGCACGGGCGCCGGCGGCACGCCAGTGTCCACCGGCGGCTTGCCGGTGTCGATGGGCGCCACGGGCAGCGCGTTGCTCTCCACCTGAACGCCCTCCTCGCCGGCCGTGTACTTGACGGAGATGGTCTGACCCTCGGGGTTGATGTAGCTGTAGGTGCCGGCCACGTTGCCGAACGCGTCGCGCACGGCCGCGTGACTCTGGTTGGGCTCCTCGTGGCCGAAGGTGGCCTGGCCGAGCTCGTCCTGCGTCTGGTAGCGGCGAGAGAAGGAATACGGAGCCGGCGCCGCCGCCACCGGAGAGGCGGCGTACGTCAGTGGAGCAGCGGCATACGAAGCAGCGGCGTACGGAGCAGCGGCGTACGGAGCAGCGGCATACGTCAGCGGAGCAGCGGCGTATGGAGCAGCGGCGTACGTCAGGGGCGCAGCGGAGTACGGAGAGGCGGCGTACGTCAGCGGCAAGTTGTAGTCGTAGTACGCAGCAGCGGCGGCTGCCACCAGCGCCGAGAGCACCACTAGCCGCATCATCCTGGGGCCGTGCCGAGTCGCCGGGGGACGGGAGGGAGGGAGTGTGCCCCTGCCGACGGCCCCGGCGCCTATATACCGGTCCCCGGCGCCGCGCCCAGCCCGTCCGACCACGCCCTCGACAGCTTCCCCGTGAAAAACAGCGCGGCCGGCAGTCATCGTCAGCTCGGCGGCCGGTTTGCTGAGCTTTTTGTCGGCGCTGTGCAGTCGCTGGTTGGGTGAGGCAGAGCCGCCCGCACAAATACAGACAGTTGTTTGTTCCGGCACAAGGTCGGAGCTCGGGGCGGCACCGGCATGCAGAGACGAGACCGAACAAACCGCCCGGTCGGCCGGCTGGTCGGGTTCCCCGGCGGTTGGCACCTGGGAATGTAACTAATCGCTTTCCGCTTCAGTGGGGCTATATTGATTGATAGAGCCTATTGATAATCTTGACAGCAGTTATCAATGCAATTATCCTAGTTACTTCAAACAGACACATTAGCACAAACGGGATATACACCTAGTTATATTAGTTGGGTTCTTCTGTGGCCTGTGGGTGGGAGAGGGTAGTTAACTTCGAATTTTACCTATTCTGTTGCCGATGTGGACTCTGTAGTAAGTAAGCAGAACAGAAGAACAGAAGAAACAGAAGAGCCGAGCATGCCGCACTGAAACCAAGTAGGTAGCGTTGCTTTATGTAGTGTAATAAATCTGGTACACATAGATATAACGGAATACTAAAGTAAATAGGTAGGGTAGACCGGGGCAAGTCGCCCCGCCGAGGTAAAACGCCTCACCGATGTTTCTCGGAACTGGCAAGGTTCTGGAGAAACATCATCTCTTCTATAAAACGTGCACTATATGATCATTATATGAGCAGACTGGAAAGAAATTGTGATGACTCTTTAGGAAGATATAGCCAAAAATGTGTTTTTGGAGTGATTTTTATGTTTTGTTGTCAGCTTATGCATCATGGCGTTCTTTTATGGTCAACATCAGGTCAACGACTTTTATGTATTTTGAACAACTTTATCTAACGCTTATAATGCCGGCTTGGTTCGTGTTGAATTATGCCTTGCTGGAGTGCAAGGCGTTGTTCTCTGACCGAACTACGTGATGGGGTAAAACGCCCCAGTAGGTCGCGGGGCAAAACGCCCCATGGGGCGTTTTACCTCATGTGTTGTTCGGAATTACCCACTTCCTAATGTTCGGTAGCTGGCTAACAGTAAGTTTCTATGCATTTATATGTACTTTTCTCAGCAACTGGATGGCGAAGGAAGTATTTTGTTAACATTTCCATTGCAATAATTTATTATTTAGCCTTATGAGGCAGGTGAAAAACCTGCTCATACAATAGTGTTTTAGCTGAACACCTGATAGGGTGGAAGCAGCTAACTTCAGTGCCGTGCTTCCCAAGGTCTAACAGACCTCTCATATAAGATATAAGTCAACTAGCATGTTTAATCTTTAATCTAGAGTATGGGGCTTCTTGCCCCAGGCCGTGGGGCGTTTTGCCCTGGGGTTGGGGCAAAATGCCCCATTTGCAGTTGCTTCACAAATCACTTCCTAGCTAGTAGTCCGATCATAAGTGAATGAATTTTAGGGGTGAAATTTAAAGTAAAATGTCCAAAGAACGCATTGAGCACAAATTTAGCCTTCCAGGTGATGTGGGACAAAAGTTGTGTAGCAAAATAAATTATCTGGGGCGTCTTGCCCCAGGCTACCCTACGGTGAAAGCACGATCCTGCCTTTTCGATACATCTCCAAGAATCGCTGCGCCGATCCTCACCAAACTTTCAGTGCCCTCCCAGGCATCAACCCATTGTGACCAAAATAAAATTGCAAAGGCTATGATAGGTTGGCCGTTAATGACGTCGCAGTGACGTCACGTTCTGCCGTTTTCGACCCAAAAAAAGGTTTCGCGGGAAGAGCTGTCAGGCCTATAGCTTTGAAGATACAGTAAACGTTAATGGCATAAAAGTTGTAGAATTATCAGGGCTACTAAACTGCTTTCCCAAAATTTTGAAATTTTAGAATTTTGACCCCCAAAAATATTTTTGTACCTAATATGATAGCCAAAAATCCAAAAAGCTTTCCGATTTCCGGGAAAATCGGATTACATGTGATAGCCCCTAGCAACTCCTATTCGCATACAAAATTTTAGATCCATATCTCTTTTTTATCAAGTTATAGGAAAAAACTGCTCAACTTTGATGACGTCAAATTTTCAAACTCAATTTTTAGCAATGCTAGACCACGTAGCGCAAAACAAAGACCACCATTAGACTCGCCGTGATGAGCTGCATCGAATCAATAGGTATCCATTTTATGCTAAACTATCAACTTTGAATTTTGACCTTTTTGACCTGACATTGACCTGACCTCCACAAAGAAATGACCTAAACCGTTCCTGATGGTCTTGTAACCAGCACCGTTGATTTGGAAATGAAAAATTGGCCACAAAACATGCATCGCACAGCCCTATTAAAATTAGGTTCATGTGCTGACCCTTGGTGACCTGACCTGTGACCTGACCTGGTATTATCAGTGATCTCTTATAGCAGCATATGTACCAGGCAACTGACGCCCTATCGCTGATTTACAATAAAACTAGAAGACCCGTGAACGGCAAAACATTGTATCTTTGACCTGACCTGTGACGTCATCGGTGACCCGGAGGTCAACGAAATTAGAGTTCTCACTTCTCTTCACAAATCTGATAGGGCTTTCGAACGCCCCTTGAATTTGGCGGATCCGTCAAGTAGTTTTAGGTTTCGGAGATACGAGGGGAGGGCAAAAATGCCCCCCCCCCCCCACCACCACCACCAGCACCACCACCACCACCAACACCACCACCACCACCACCAGTCACCATGCACCAGGTCGCGTCAAAACAGACCCCACCAGGGCGCCGGTTATGACTCCCACTGTTCACTTCCTCTGTACTCTGTACCTTCCCGGTACCTGTATCCAAATATCGTATTATCGCATACATCATGCATCGCTTATCATATAAAAGTTTAGGATGCATTACCATAGTTTTTTTTTAGTATTTCGAAACTCCAGCCCTTCTCAAAAGAATCGCGTAATCGTAACATAATCGATAGCAAAATTAATAACCTAAGCAGGGTTGCGGAGTCGGAGTCGGAGTCAGTCGGAGTCGACAGTTCTGCCCGGAGTCGGGTCGGAGTCGGCCGAAAATCCATAGACTCCGCAGCCCTGCACCTAAGGATGTTCCGGGCTGGCCGTTAGTGGTAGCTGCAGTGTGATCTAACTGCTCCCGACCGGCTGATGATAGAATGACGCCGGCTGAGCGCGGTCTTTCTAAGCCGAGATGTCGTCACTGAGATCGCTGGCGACTGCAGCGGGGCACTGCCACGGGACGGACGGGTGACTGGGGGGGGGGGGGGGGGCGGGGGCTGTTTGTGGAATGTACGACCGCCAGCGCCGTCCGAGGCTGGCACGGCGTCACGTTACGCCCAGCAGTGTCACGTTACGGCGTCACTGACCAGCGAATGACCCGGGGTAGAGGGCTGGCCTCAGCGCCTCCAGCCGACCATCAGTAGGGCCATAATAGGGATCGGGCCAGTCGACTACAACTAGAGACTAGAGCCGAGTCAATAGAAGAAGCCTCCACCCATTAGGATCGAATCATTCCTAATTGGCTCGTCAGACACTTTCTTCAACTGATCGGCTAGGACCCGAGTCTTGAAACTCATGCACAATGGTCTGTTCAAAGTGCTCACCAACTGATCAAACGGGACATTATCCAGTACACTACGGATCCTGGGCCTCACCAATTCGTCCCCCCTTCCCCTCCCCCCCGGAGACTTGAGCGAAGAAAAAAAACGTGGAACCTTAGCTATTGACGTCGATGGTACCTATTGGTCATAAAGCTACCGAAACTTATCAATCCCTACAGAGTGGTTAGGTCAATTAGACTTTTGAGAATCATGCACCGGAGATCCTGCCATTCCCGAGCTATTTATGACGTTGGTGGTGTACGTATCACGGCAATGACAGCGTACCGTAACCCGTCTGACCGTCCCCATTAGCAGCGATCTGTCTGACGGCTGACCATACATCTGGCCATCCTTCTGACCGTCCTTAGACGCCTCGTCCAGTCTCTGGCCCTCTCTAGCACTTACGACACTCCTAAGCCGTATCACTCCTCACTGAGTCCTCAGTGTAACCTCGTTCCCCCGCAGGCCTCACCCAGTTCTGCGCGGACCTCGGCTCAGCTGTCCGGCCAGGCCCGCGGCTCTGATTACCCGGGCAGAGGGCGGAGGAGCGCCGGGCAGAGGGCGGAGGAGTGCCGGGCAGAGGGCGGAGGAGCGCTGGGCAGAGGGCGGAGCACGGGGCCGCCGACGGATGAAATACGACGCATCCTGTCGGTGCCGTTTGGAGTCGTCCACTCAAGCCGCCCTCGACGGATCGTCTGACTCTAATGGGGTGTGTAAACGCTCCAATAACCGCGGCGGAAACCCAGCCGGGCAATACGCGTGTGTGCTGAGGTAAACAGACCGATTGCACAGACCCAGACAGACAAAACGTGCGCACACTGTGTTTATAAATACTCGGCACAGTATTTGGCAATGGACAGATTAAGTCCGAATCCACGTAACCGGGCAAAGAAGGCTCGAACGTAATTATTGGCACAGCACCAACGCTGCTACGTGGTACAAACAATGCCACGGGGTTTTACATAGACGTGTCGGAAAAGACGCAATATGCTGATCGGATAAGAACGAGAGCAACAACGACAACCGGCCCAACGCCTCATCAAACTAACACGTGAGCCACAAGGCGCACACACCAACGCATAGCAGACTGTAACAGCGCGATGTCGGCCTCATCACACAATTCCAACCGGCATTCTTATCCCGCACTCAGCACCCACACAGCAGTCACATTCGTATGGAGACCAGCAAAATGCGTCGCACAAATCACCTCTTCTTGCAACAACCGAACTCAATTTTCTGATCACCCAAGTTCCGGCAGCACTGCGAGAGAAGAAAGCACGCGCAGAAGCGTTCTATATGAAGCGTCATTAGCGCCGTCAGAGACATCGGACCGGACGAGCCTGCAGTTCATATTACCTCCGCTAGGGGCGCTAGCAGTCTAGCCACCTCGGTACGGTGCTGGACCGATATTTCTCTCATTCCAGATGGCACTTTCCGTCAAAACTGACTTATCGCAGCTGGCGCCACCCGCTTATCGGCCCGTACGAGACAGCCACAGGTCCGTAGCATTACCACAAGCACTCTCCAGCGTCAGAATTCTGAGACAGACTCCTGGCACCGCCAGAGTAACAGCACTCCACAGAAGGGTCTGCAGACCAGACGGCCCTGTGCCCGAGAGGACTCAGCCTCCACAGCGGGCCGATCCGCGGACGGCACTCTCAAAGCGGCAGCTGAAAGCGCGGACGGTAGACTGCCTTCTCTTCCTCTCCGGTAGATGTTCGGTAGATCAGTCAGGAGGCGGAAGGGAGCGGGCGGAGGATGGACGGCTCTCTCCCCGTCCCATCACCGCCGCTGGTGCCGGCACGAGGCGCAGCATGACGTGGCGTAGAAGCTGGTCTGGCACAGCCGGGCCCGCCGCACCAGACTGCAGTGACTCAGACTATCCGTGCAGGAGTCTGGAACAACGGGGAGGCGACAGTCAGGACATGGCCAATCATCCGTTTGGTGCGATGGACAAACATTAGACCTGCTTCTAAGTCTCGCTCGGTACAACGCTGGTTATTTTTAGCAATAAAATACTATGTCTCGATATTCGATAATGCTGAACAGCTGAACATAAGGTATAATGCACAAATCATAGGAAAAAAAGACGATTCTGTGATGCAAATTCATTGTGTGAATCCACAAACGAACTCAGCAATCCATCCCTGCCGACAGTCACCGTACGACGGCAGCGCCACCTACCTTCCCGCTCCCCGTCGGCGCCGTTACCAGAGCCGTCACCGCTCCGCCCTCTCTCCTCCTCTCCTCCTCTGTCCACCGGAGCCGCTCCCCCGCCGTCTGACTCGGACTCTGTGACCGTCTCAGGTGCTGTGGTGGTGGTGTTAGTCTCTGACTCTTGACTGAGTCGATTCTGAGTCGATCGGCCAGTGGAGGAGTCCGTCGGCGCAGAGGATGAGTCTTGAGAGTCATACTCAAAGTTGTCCTCAGAGTCAATCTCTGCGCCAGGAGAAGTGACTCTGCTCTTCACCGGTCGCTCTATCGTACCCGAGCTCCAGCTATCCTGCAGTGAAGCCGCCGGTTCAGGCAGTTTACCACCACTCTTCTGTCTCAGCCCTGGCCCGTCCAGCGGCTCTGAAGCGGCCGGGCGGGCCGTCTCGGTCTGGTTAGCCGTCTGAGCCCGCAGCTGATGGTCCCACGGACCGGACCGGTCTCCACCAGACAGACCAGTCCCGTGACCTCCCAGAGGACCGTCTTCCGACCCGAGCTGCACCTCAGTGTCCGAGCCCTCGACCGTGTGGTACTCGGGCCCCAGAACGGGCGTCAGGCGAGGCTGGGAGGGCGGCTCGGCTGCTGGGGACTCCGGTCGGCTGGGCGGGGTCGGCGCTGGTTCAGTGGTGAACGCTGCAGGGGACGGAGCACGGAGAGCAGCCCGTCAGGTACGGACGGCGACAGTGGCGCCGCCAGCGGCAGAGAGGTGAACTAGACGTACAGCTCACAAGCGAGGCGGACGGACGGACGGACGGACGGACGGACGGACGGACGGACGGACGGACGGACGGACGGACGGACGCAAGGGCTACAGACGGACGAACGGACTGACGGACAAAGGGTTGGAAAGACAGACGGGCAACAAATAAGCATCACGCACACACAAGGCACATAAATATACCGCATAAAAATCCCAAGCGCTTAAAAAAAAGAAACTTAACCTTGACAGAAAACAAGACGAAACGACATTTCACCATATCGGGAACGAAAAGCAAAACGGAAACGCCACAGTCATGCCGTAGGTATCAGCTGTCACAAAAACTGCACCATGTAGCACTAACAACAAAACCCAATCAAAAGCGCTCACAGACATGAAACCAAACTCAAAAGCGCTGACGGACGCCAGTCAAGCCAAGCCGGGCGGTGCACCTGTCCCTGGTAGGCAGTGACCGTGTCCGTATCGCGCCCGTTACACCCCCGGTGTCTGTGTGGGGGCTCGGCGTTAGCTGGCACAGAGACGGGGCACACTGAGAGCACACGGCCTCGGGCCGGGACTGACCGTATCTCCGGCTCAGGAGACTGCAGCCATTCCACGCGCATACGAAAACTATCACCTAGGCAGCGGAGAGACCGCGTCATTGCTGGTGGTACACTCGGGAACAGGTGGGGTGTTTTGGATATTGGGTTCCTCAGAATTGTAAACAAGTGAAACGTACAACCTAACTATTCAGTCAGGAGCAGGATAGGAGGTAAATCCTGAAAACATTGGGAGTTTTTAGAGCAGATGCTTGACTTATGAATTCATAAAACAGTATAGGGGCTGCAAAGTATGAGTCTCAAGAGAAAGCAGCGGAAAGTGCAACCCATCAGAGGCCCAAAAACGATAGAGAATTCAGCATTCTATAGCTCCAGCGGTAGCAATCGCAACGTATAGACCACCAATTATACTGCCGTGACATTGGGAAGTATGAAGCACCCCACGCCGCCCCGGCCGGTCACCTCCCCTCTCCACTACTCACCAGCACCTGGACACTCTGCCTGCTGACAGGGTCGCCGCTCCTCGGGTCTCTCGCCGTCCGGACAGCCGGCCGCCAGTCGACCGTCGGCGCCGACGCAGGCCACCACCCGTCGCTGCTGACCGGAGCCGCAGGTGACCGAGCACTCGGCCCACTCGGCAGTGAACCAGCGCGGCGGGCAGCGGCGCTCCGGCCCGGCGCCGCACGGCTGCTGGGCTGCCGGCCGCGGTGAGCCGGCGCACGAGAGGTCTGCGGTGACGGAGAACTGGCCGGCCGACTGGCGGACGCAGAGCACGGTCCGGGTGGCCTCGCCGCCGACACCGCACTCCCGGGAGCACTGGGGAACAGAGAAAGACGTCAGTGTCACATACTACCGGAAAGCGGTGTCGGGTGCACACGTCATACACGAGCACGCGGGAACGAACGGCAGAGTTAATATGGTTGTGATTGTACAGGTGTTACCGGCAACAATATTTAATCCAGGTGATGTGAATGCATGGTGACTGACTTTAATAACACTGGTAACGTTTCGCTGAAAGTTATATCACTAATAAAAATCAACTATGAACTTGCAGGACAGGGCACACCATTCCAACCGAACCCCACCTGAAATCTGATCGAATAGACTATCCTCCCAACTGACCTGGCTCCAGGGCCCGGTGAACCAGGTGCCCGCGCAGCCCCTGTCCGTCTTACAAGGCCGCGTGTCGGAGGGTCTCTGAGAGAGGTCACAGCGTCCCGGGTCACCGCCGCAGGCCACGCCGCGCGACTGGACGCCCTGGCCGCACTCCACAGAGCACTGGGAGGGCGAGAGAGAACAACGGTCAAACGCGCTGCTATCCACGCTCCAGAAACAGCGAGCGAGGAATGTCAATGCTAAAAGTAAAATATAGCAACGACATAAGATGAGCTTTATACTTCGCTGGCGTACGCTTTATCGGATACGTATTCTATCGTATCCTTCCTCACCTATAAATGATCAACGTTTTATCAGGCGAATCCGTCGGAGCTGTATTAGCATTCGCTCGTTCTTTTTCACTCTGTGTCCTCGTCCGCACCTGCTGTGTCCAATCGGTGACCATCCATCCGGCGGGCGGCGGCGGTCCGCCCTGTCCCGGTCCGCCGGGCTCCTCGGTGGGCGGACAGTCGGCCCGGCGGCAGGGCGCGGTGTCTCGTGGCCGCTCCGACTCCGGGCACCCGGCCAGCTGGTCGGTGCAGGTCACTGAGCGGGTCCGGGTGCCCCAGCCGCAGCTGACGGAGCACTGCGAGATACAGGGGCAGGTCACGGAGGGGAATAGGTCAGCTAATCAGTACAGGTCACAGAGAGGACCCGGGTGCCCCAGCTGCAGCTCACAGAACACTGCGGGGGGAGGAAGGGAGGCACAGGTCACAGAGCGGGTGCGGGTACCCCAGCCGCAGCTGACGGAGCACTGCGGAGCGAGGGACAGGTTACCGAGAGGGACAGGTCTGTCACTTTCTAGTGACGCACGCACTTTCCAGTGGCGACTGGCGACTGCAGTGAGGGCTTGCCTACATAGTCACGCACAAAACGCCTGGGTGATATACTGTTCCGCAATACATACGTGTGCCGCGGTTTAGCCTATAACTGTTGATAAGGCATATAGTATAGTGGAAACAAATAGAATAGTTATACAAGAACGTAGGCTGAAGCTGGATTCGAAATGATTTATACCAGCAGCCGCATATTTGTTACGTTGGCATTCAGGATGAAATAGCTGCACGCCAATGGTTTGACTCGGAATCCCCTTGATTTACCTCCGGTCTACTCCAAGTCAAACAAGCTCCGTGCCGTGAGGCGAGCCCGCTAACGGACCCGGTCAGAAATATCAGGAAAACATCATTAACCTCCCGACAGGACGCTATCAAAGCATACCAAATAGTTTCGATAACATCGGCTTCCGTCATCGGAACCATGCACAATGCACTATTTTCAGCATCGCTGCTATTTTTCAGCACGGCGCCAACCAGTCGCGGGGATATAAATCCAATCAACCCCGAGCTATGTTTGACAGGAATGCTAAAAATGCCTGATTTGTGGCCACAAGGTGATCATTTCAGGAACATGTCGGGAACGTTTAGGGAAGATTTCGGTCGCCCTTTCGGCACTCACCGCGCTCCATCGTCCGACGTGCCAGCGCAGCTCTGGCCGGCAGGGTCCCGAGTTACAGGGCTGCGTCTCGGGCTCGGTGGGTCGGCCCACACACTCGGTCACCTCTACCGGCTGTCCGGCGCGCACACAGAGAAACGTGCGCGTCTGGTGTCCGGCGCCGCACGAGCTGCTGCACGCCGACCACTCGTTGGCCCGCCAGACGGCCGCCGCGCTGCCCGGATAGAGGGGTGTCAGTCAGTGGCGCTGCTGGGAGACAAGGGTGTCAGTCAGGTGATGCTAACTAGCATATGGTAAGACAGCAGGTGAGGAACCAAATCAAATGAAAATTGTACGTACAGCATGGATGATTGCACAAAAGACAAGCATGTTTACAAAACCGTTGGTCTTTAGGAGCAGGCTGCAGTCCAATATGGCCTGCCTGTGACTGTCATCTGGCAAATTCGGAAGAATTGCTGTTCTCTTATACTTTAAGATGCGAAATGGATTTCACATCGCGCTAACACCACCATCTATCTCCTGTCCCCACCGACCTGACGGGGCAGGGCGCCGTGTTACAGAGCACGGGCCGGGTGCGCGGCCGCCGGCGAGGGTTACACTTGCTGTCGGGGGCCAGCTGTTTCTTCTTCCGACGCACGCAGACCACCTCCGGGACACGAGTGCCTGAGGAGGGACACGGAGGTCGGCGTTAGAGACACATGACATACATTGATGAGGAGGGAAAAGGGAAGGTGGGCAGACTCATTGCGACATGCAGTAAAGAGATTAGTGTTATTACTACTACAAAGAGATTAGTGGTAATTACTTGTTCAATTATAATGCGCATTGCGCATGTATAATAATGGCGGAATAATAACGGCGACGGAATAATAATCGGGACACGAGAATCACTGCAAGACAAAGAAACAAGATGAAAGGTAGATTAATCCATCAAGCTCCAGGAAATTTCAGATAGGATGCCATGAGTCGTGATATGCCCTACAAATGCTACTGTCAGCTGAACTCCGTCAGAAGATAAAAAATATCTTAAGTTCAATTAAAAGAGCATAGCAAAATGCAAATGAGCCCTCTCGCAGATGTGTCCCAGACACCCACTCTTCCATGTCTCACCTCCTCCGCAGCTTTTGGAGCACTCGGAGTAGCCGGGTACCACCCACTGGAAGCGGCTGCGGCGCCGGCGGCGGCGGCGGCGACGGTGGGTGCCCGGCCCGGCGGCCGGCCTGGCCCGCGCCGGCTCCGAGCCCGGCCGGGGCGCGGGCCGCGCCGGGGCAGTCTGCTGCGGCAGACCCGGTCTGTGCACCCGGCCCCGGCGCCGGCCGGTCCGGTGACCCCTCCGGTGACCGGTGGCTGTCCCGGGGCCGCGCCGGCGACCCGGCTGGTGGGGCGGCGTCGCCGCGTGGAACGGAGACGGCGCCGGACCCGAGGAGCCTGGGGGAAGGAGCACACGACGGCCTGATCATTACGGAGTGTAGGTACCAATATCTTTGGAAGTAAGCAGCACGCATTGAGGAGCCTCAAATGGCCACAATCCTGGCCGGAGGCGAGCCATAGCTTACAAGCAATGATTTAACTCTCTCCAAACAAATTCTAAAGAGTAGCTTCATCCGTCCTACGCCAGGACCCCGCCTCGTCTCTGACCTGCTCCTGCCGGCGTCGCTGGGAGCCGCGGCGCGGTGTGCGGCGGCCGGGCCACCCCCGGCGCTGGCACGGCGTTCCTATGTCCGGTAGGTCGGGGCACGACGCTCGGACGGGCCGGGAGCTGCGGGAGCGCCGGTAGTGCCGGTGGCGGCGCCGGGGGCAGGCTCTGCAGATCGTTTGGCAGCCGCGGCAGCACAGAGCTCAAAGAGGCGTTCCGCTTGATGACGTACTCGTACTTGATACCGCGGTTCATTTGGCGATACAACAGCTAAGGAATAAGAAAAAAATGTCAGCTTAGTTACAGAAGCATCGACAGAACACTTGTGTGCATGTAACACACCACGGACTGTCAAATGTCCATTGTCCATATATAGGGAATGGTGAACCTATAGCATGCATAGAGAACATATAGCATCACCTTGTCACACTCGTCAACATAAGACCTCCCCTCATTCCACACAAACGATTCCATAAATGTATCGCAATAAATCGTCAACCCAAACACGTCTCTCACCGTGAATCATATTGTCCCGCTCCGAAAATTAAAAGAAAGAACACCGACATGTCTCCACGTCAGTCCCGAACTCACAAATATGTCCACGGGCTCAGTGATCGGTCCGGTGGCGGCCAGCGTCTCCCCCTGGGTGTCCGTCTGACGCCGGTACATAAACGTCGCGCCGGCGCCCTGGTACTGGCCAGAGTTGTCGATGTTCCAGGCGCCGTTCACGATAAACTCTTTGTTGCCGGCTCGCAGCGCTGTCACAGAAAGATATGAGCAGCGAGCTGTGACGACGGCGGTACTCGAAATGGAATATCAGACACTTTATCGCAAAGTGGCAAACAGGATGACAGCCAGGAAAAATTGGGGCAGCAAAACAGGAATTCCTCCAAACACGTCATATTGCAACGACACATCGCATTAAAATCAGTTGCTCGCCATTTTCACGGAATGCATCGGTAGCTTTGCTCTACGTTCTATTAGGAAAGTTGCATCTGATTATGAGTCATATGTGCTTCCTCCACCAACAAACCTTATCGAGCCGATGTTTGAAAGGAGATAGGATCGGGTACCTATATGTGGTCGTGTATTCCGAACGGTAGGTTCTGAGGACAGAGAGGACAGATGCTACTCGTGAGGACAGCGAGGACAGATTCTGTTCCTGAGGACAGCGAAGGGTTGGATGGTCAGTGATCATCGGCAGTCTCGGGGACAGACAGTGCCAGACGCTCCAACTTACCCAGGTAGTTTCTGGTGGGCACCACCTCCTCAATACGGATACTGCAGGCGCCGGCCGGGATCTGCAGGACCAGCTGGTAGCCCTCGCGCAGGTGAGGCTCGGTGAATATGCCGGAGACGAGGTGGCAGGTGCTGTTGTCTCCGCCGCACACGCCGCACGCGTCCCGGACTCGAGGCGAGCCCACCACGCCGTCACAGCCAATGTGCTGCGGGAGAGAGAGGAAACTCAGCTTCACAGATCGACCGGTAGAGGTCAGGCAGGTTACACAGCGAGACTCCGTGCGAGAGGCCAGGTCAAGGTGACACGGGTGGGAAAATGATGTGTTGTTCATACATCAATGAGTTTTAGAACCCAAATATTACAGTTATCGTACGTAACCGTACACTTTTCACACAACATAACAACACCACTATCGCAAAACGATCGCCGGATACTCGGAACAGCAGGTAAACAAGGAACCTCAGCACACCACCGTCACCGCAATCCATCCATCATATTGTCATCAACACCTGAATCTGATCTGGGTGATCCACACCGCGAGTCGACGCCCGGACACACGTTGGCCCATCCCGAACACATGTAGAACGTCTGTTTTCTGTCAGCGAAGTCACTCAGACATCCAGGGCAGCGATCGGACGGATGTTTGCAAAACATGGCCGGCCCATCCAAACTTTGCATACGAGTCATTTCCGCCCGCCACGGAGCGCTAGGTCGGATCATAATCAGCCATTGATGGCATCAGTTAACAATGCTGAAATGGCTGCGTCCTTCAATGGGATCGAAAATCATCATATCAATGACATCAAGGCTTTGCAGCAAGCTACTATGGCACTGCTACAGCGCTGAACACAGGTCGTTTTTGACTTCTGGTCGACATTGGCCGGTACACTGGCCTGCGAAAAAGCGGAAAGTCCATATATATCCATCCATGGTACCTTAGCAGCCTTGATACGATTGCTTCGTAACGACGATACATTGTCACCTATCCGTCTTACGACCTCATGATGCAAGCATCTGAATCTGAGCGGTCTGAGCCCGGCCCGTGGCCTGTAGTCCCTAGACACCGGAAGTCTTTGGTCCACGGTCCAGTGCCCCGTGGTCTGTAGTCCATAATGACTGATGTGTGGTCCTGGTTCGTGGCTCGTGATAGGAAAATCCGTGGTCTGTGGTTTGTGGTCTGCGGTTAGTGGACTGGAAGTTCATTGTTGGTAAGTCTGTGGTCATTTGGTTCGTCGGCTTATTAGTATTTCAGACATTAGTCGTCTGTGAATGAAACGTGGTCTCAGTTCATTGATCAAGCCAATTTGTCTGTCGGACCAACTCGGTTCAGCGGTGGCGCAGCCGTGGCCAGTCGGATCGTCATTTCCCGGTCCTATATGGAACGTCCCGCTGTAACCGCCTGCCATCAGGGGTCGGTGCAGTCTGGTCTGGTCCTGTAGCCCACGGTCCTGTTGGGTCCTGCGGTCTGTCGGGCCGGTCCTCTCGGGGCTCCATTACAGTTCGGCGCGCCTCTGCGCCATATACGGGCCCGCCGCGCCGCGATAAGATGACGCGATAGAGCGCCGCATCAGCCGCGGCTGCCGTCTAATGATGTATGGAGCGGCTGCCAGTCTGGCGGCGGCGCGGACGACGGGGGGCGGCGCGGAGACGAGACGGTGGTGAGGAGCCTCACACCGACACACCGGTGGCAGGGTATTGTCCACCGGCGCCGCCGCAGCTCAGGCCGGTGGCTCCAGTATTGTCCAGCCGGCGCCGGTCGGGTCAGGGTCGTGTCAGAAGGGAGTGATCAAGAGAGGGCAAGAGAGGGCGGCATCAGTTAGGTTGAGCTGACTGCTGAGTTGTGTTAGGGATAAAGGACGTGCAACGTGTTCAATGGATACGAGAAGGTTGGGTCAGGTGAAGTCAGAGCTGGGATCGAAGAAAGGCTGAGGGTGTTGACCTTCGGAGCACGCGTCAGATTCCATCGTCCCTGGGCTTTTGAACAGACAGATCAAGATCCGTCTTTACCAAAGATGGGAGAGAAAACACACACCCAGCCGGAGTCGCCGCACACTGGGATATTCAGACATGGATACGGAGAATTGAGAAACGGTTAGACCAGGTGAAAACCAGACAGGTCGCAGCAGGAGCACTAGTCAGGTGAGCTGTGTCGAGATTAGGAATTCTCAGACAAAATACCACCAGTGGTGTGACAGGCAGACTGGTCACCACCCAATTTGCACCAGCAGGCAGCACCATTATCGGTAAGTGCTGCGATCATGTTCTGGCACCATCTCATGTGTCGGACCATTTGGAATCGATCACATAAGGAGGCAACACGGGGTGGGCACTGGCTCATTTACATTCCGTGGTTTTCTGTCGTCCGATCGTCATGTCGACAGCGCTGTAAACACGGACAGGCTGTATCCTTACGGAGACAGCGCTGGTCACTGCTCTGCTCAGATAGGGTTGTGAGTCAGTGTTCGGACCGGAATGGAGATCCGTCAACTGTGCAGTGGCAACAACATTCATGTGCCGAGTTCAGAAATGGTGGTGACAAGAAGGGCGGGTGCCTTTGCTGGACACATTGCGCGAAGACGGATAGGCGTGGTAAAAATAAGGATCTTGGATAAGTAAATATAAAACTGTGCACGCGAATCGATTTATCAGATAATACACCATAAACGAGTACCCCGTACTAATTATCTGACTTCGTTATCACCGATTTCCGACAAAATTCCGAGACTCAGACTAACTGGAACAAAGCAGTAACAACTGAACGACCTACTGAACATCGAAAAGCCAGACCCGCGCACTCAGTCCCCTCATAAGGAGAGGAACAGAAAGTCCCCGCCGCGCCCTACCTCCACCTGACTCACCGGTCTGATCCGTGCCTGGGCATCAGACTGACCTGTTTTACCAGCCCGATCCCCCCGGCCAGCCGAGCCGGTCAGGGGCTGACGGGTGATGACTCGACACAGTCTAACGAGCTCCGGTCCCCCGATCGCCGGAAATCGGACCAGCAGGGCACGGCAATGTTTATTGAGCGGCGTCCGTGAATCATTGAGACGAAATACCAGACACGAGATGCTAATGTCACGGCAGCTGCATCAAACGTTAGGAAGGTCACGGATCATTAACCCGCGCCCCACTGGGGGGGGGGGGGCTATTTATAGCCCCCCCCTCCCGTTTTTCTGCAATAACTTCCAAACAGCTTGACGTATCGACGCCAAACTTTCAGTACCTTAGGCTGTATCAATTTGACACCTTGTGTCAAAATTTGAACTTCGTACCTACTATAGATCCGCCGGAAATGACGTCAGAGTGACGTCATGTTCGGCCGATTTCGACGCAAAACATTGAACCACGGCAATCGCTCCCAAGAGCTCAATTTTTAAGCTAGATCCAATTTCTTTGCATGGGAGGACTCAGAATAGACTGTGCTATCAAACTGCTATCACGGATTTTCGAAATTTTGAAAGTTTTGAAAATTTGATATAATAATATCCAAAATTTATATTTTTACATTTTTTTCAAAAAGTTTTTGACTTTTCGAAAAAACCGGAATATATGTGATAGAACGCATTATTATGACTAACTCTAGCAAGTTTTAGCTAAATATCTTCAAAAATGGCCAAGTTTTACGCATTATTGCAAAAAATTCACAAATATCAATTTTTCAAATCAATTTTTCAGCACGTATTTGACATCGTACGCCAATATAAATAGCACCATCGTGTTCCTGAGCTCAAACTGCACCCAATACGCAACCGAAGTGTGACGTCATGACTAGTGGCTGGGGCATAATCAGCTGACGGCCCTGTGTTAAAGCAATGGGACGAAATTTTATCAGCATTTTTAGAACAAACTGGACCTAGTTAGATAGTTTGGGGGCCAGTTTCTAGGTAAACTGAGTATATTCTATTTTTCTACGCCCAAAAAATGCTATGTTTCAAAGCGGAAAGGACCGAATTTCGCGAAATTGTTACGGGCGGCGAACTTGACGCACCAAATACATGACCTTGAGATGCGAACTGTGACCGCGTCGGGAGGATTTTGATGCGAAAGGTTTGACATATTTGAGTTTGAGCTGGATGAATATTTTTCATTTGTAAAAAGCAAAGGAGAAAATTCACCGTATAGGTTATTTTGAAAATCTTTTTTATTTTAAATCTATTATTTTAAACCTCTTGATCTAAAATGTTTTGTATTTCTGCGTCAACTTCGCCGCCAATTAGGTTTTCACGAAATTTTGTGCTTTGCGTTGTTAGATTTTGCAATATTTTTTCGTAGAAAAGTAGAGCATACATCGTTGTCCTAAATTCAGCTACTAAAACTATCTAACTAGGTCCAGTTTTCTTGGGAAAGATCGGCAAAATATTGCCCCATTGCTTTAGCACGGGGCCGTCAGCTGATTATGCCCCAGCCACTTATCGTGACGTCACGACTTCGGTTGCGTATAGACACCTTTTTTGTTGAAAATTTTAACTTCAAAATTTGACCTTTTTTGACCTGAAAGTGACCTAACATAAGCTAAATTCGACTCAAAATGACCTCGAATGACACAGACGACATCAAATTCGAAATCTGACCTGAATGGACCATAAAACATGTGTCACGTGACCGACGCATGATATAATATTTTCGTGACCTGTGATGACCTGACCTTGACCTGAAAATCAAAGTACAAGTTTGGTACCCTCAGGGTAACTAGAGCATCTGTTCCCGAGTGTGTGATCCAAAAATGAGCCTGATCTGACTTGTAAGACGGCGGCCAGAGCCCAAAACGTGAACAAGCCAAAATGCTAATAATTTTTACTTTGACCTGACCTGTGACGTCATCAGTGACCTCGAGGTCAATGAAATTAGGTTTCGCTCGACAGTTTTTATGGGGCTATCAGACGCCGTTTGAATTTTGACGATCAGCCCAGTAGTTTCGGAGTTAGGAGGGGGGGGCTATGAATAGCCCCCCCCCCCCCCCCCCCCCAGTAGGGCGTGTTATACGCAGACCCCAGTGGGGCGCGGGTTAAATCTCAGAACCAATCAATCAATAGAACTGGTTGTAATCACAAAACAACGACTAAGATATTCATCGTTCATGCATTGCTTTACAAAGTAAAGTATTGCACACACAAAGTATTGCACACACACACACACAAAAAATCATCTTTCTCTTTCTCTTTCTCCTTTACTTTCTATCTTTCGATAACTCGAATTCAGCAGCTG